GATTGCAGATACAGGCGCCACTTCTCATATGACCCCTCACCGTCACTGGCTGTGCTCCTACACGCCCATGCGCGTGCCAATTCCCTTTGCTGACCACACTGTGGTCTACTCAGCTGGTGTGGGGTCTGTGGTGTTCTGTCCTAGGGTGGGAGGGAAGGAAGCGAGGGCTGTAGAGTTTAGTAGGGTGCTGCATGTGCAGCGCTTCTCTCATCTCATGGGACTTGAGGCATTGGGGGGGAGCGAGTCTGGCAGAGCTGCTGGTTCAGGGGGGAGTGTCAGAGTGCGTCCAGCACCACTCTTCTGAGCGTGATAAAAACGGACCTGATAGTGTTTTTAGGGTTCGAGCACACTGGCTAAGAACACGGCTATGCACCAATATAAGAGCCAGAGCAATCTGAGAAGAGGAACTGTCTTCTGTTAGCCTAGGAATAAACACCCTAGGTCCAGTGAGGCTAGAAGTTGCACCGTCATGGTATGCCTTGCAGGTAAGCAGCGTGCCAACCCGTTTCCACCCTCTCCCTCGCGTTCTACTGCCCTCCTTGAGCTCGTGCACTCAGATGTCCATGATGTGGGCCACCTCTCCATGTCTGGCTATCGCTACTGGGTGTCCTTCATCAATGACTACTCTCGCTACCGCGTTGTTGTCCCTCTCAAGGCCAAGTCTGACGTCTTTGCTGCTTTCAAACGGTTCAAAGCCTTCACTGAGAATGTGAGCACAGGATCAAGGCCCTGCAGGATGACAAGGGAGGCGAGTACATGTCCAACGAGTTCCTCGCTTTCACAGAGGAGTGTGGCATAGTGCGCAGGCATACTGTTCGCAATCGCCCTCAGCAGAATGGGGTTGCTGAATGTGCCAATGGGATGCTCTCTGAGCGCATCACTGCTCTCCTGGACGAGTCTGGCCTGCCCAAGTCATTCTGGGGAGAGTGCCTTGCTGCTCTAGTGCATGTGTGGAACCGCTTGCCCACTGAGGCTGTCCCAGAGGGCACGCCCTACCAGCTATGGCATGGGTGTAAGCCAGACATCTCCCACCTCCGAGTCTGCCTATGTGCATGTGCAGAGGGATAAGCGTCGCTCTCTGGGCTCCCATGTGGAAAAGTGCGTCTTCCTTGGCTATCCTGAGGGCTACAAGGGCTGGAAGTTCTACAACCCCACCACCAAGCGCACTGTCATCTCAGAGCGTGCTGACTTCGATGAGCGCTACTTCCCTGGCCTCTCTAGGCCTAGGAGCGACCCACCACCTTCCCCTGCACCCCCAGTAGGTGTCTATGTTCCTGATGAGCTTGGTGAGCCATTGGGCCATGGGGGGGAGAATGGTGCTCCACCTGTGCCGCCTGCGCCTCAGGAGCGTCCCCAGGATGTCCCAGGTGCTCACAACCGTGCCCCAACACCTCCTCCACCGCCTTCGCATTCTCCTTTGCCTCCTGGTGATTGCCCCACTATGCAGGTAATTCTATGACATGTTTTCATCATTGGAGCTCTCAATGAACACTGTGCTCTTGTACGTGGGCTGACAGGAGTCAGACAAGGCCTTTGTTCACTTTTTTGTTAGACATGCATAGGGCTTCTGCCTCTTACCAGCATCCAAACACTTTTTCTGGGTGTGCTCACAAACATCAACAACACTCTCATGCTCCACAATGCGAACCTGAGTTCCCATGAGCTTTGCAATTGCAAGGCTGTCATTGCGGCCTGCAGCCATGACACATCCTCCAGAGAGACCAGGAAGACATGAGGGTTGCCAAAGACAATGCCTGCAGAGGTCAGCTACCCAATGAGCTTAACACCAAAAACAAGGACAATGGCAGTTTCATAGTAGAAGTAGTGCATGGTGAGGTTGGTGATACCAGTGATGGCTTCTATAAGTATGCATTAGCAATGTAGTATGTAGATATCAACGAAAGAACTTACAAAAGCCATGAGTGATGAGCTTGACGCACTGGGAGCACATGTTGGCAATGGCATTGCATCGAGCAATGTCTAGAGTGTATCAGATAATGAGTAGTGCATGCAATGCAAGAACTGCAACCTCACTTTTACCCTGTGTGGCAGCCCACAGGCTTGAGCTTGCGGGGGAGTCCAAAAGGTGCAGGCATACAACAGATTCCCTAGCAACTTGCAAGACCATAGGGGCAATGCAAAGACTGCTGGGTAAAAAGCCACAGCAATCAAGTACATTGGCAGAAAGTTTCTCTACAGAGGCTAGACCATAGAAAGCTTGAAAACCCTTGCTAACCTCATATGGGTTACTTGTTGGAGTGTTAGGGCCAACATTGGGGAAACGGTAGATATTTGACCATAGTACTGATTGCTAGTTTTTGATGTATGCTGACCCTGAGTGTCAATAGCAGACAAGGGAGCCTCCACACTTATCTGGAATAGATTGGGGAATGCAACCTGAAGAAAGCAGTGGTTATCTGCCTGAGAATGCCGCATGTGAGATGGAAATCTTTCAGAGGGAGTGTGAAGCACTGCAGAGCTTTGTTTACTGCCTCAGATCTCCACAGAGATGGGTTGCGAGTGTTCCTGTGACGACTTTCTGCCTTGAAAAAGATATATGGGGCATAGTCAGCTATTTGTGCCTCTGTGCACTGCTTGCTTTGTTCTGTTAATACAAATATTGTAGCAGGCCTTAGCACACCCAAAAAGAGAAGCATGGGTTTCTTCAGTTCATCCGGCAATGACCACAAGCAAGATTGAGTGTCCTTAGTATACTGCTTGGCTGGTGGGTTGGCCAGAACAAGACTGCTGTCATTGAGCAGAAAGAGATTCTTTTTCCTAGAGCTGGCTGCATGATTGTGATGCAAGAGCTTGGAGAGTTGAAATGCTCTAGGCAGAATACCACAAGTGAGGGCAATAGCCGCCAGGAGGGCGGACTGAGCTTCACCATGGTACTTGCTAATCCAGCGGCTGCACTTGCCTTGGTCAGTGATACTGTTAGCAGGACGGAGAGATGCTGCAACAGCATTGTTCGCAGATTGGATCAAAGGGGCCCAATATGCTTTGTTCTACCTAAAAATAGAGTTTGGGGAAGCTGTATGATCAACAATTACGCTGATGTCAAGTTGAAAGTAGTTTGGTAGACTCTCTCAGAACCTTGGTTGAGACAGCTGCTTTTCTTCTCTTCTTATGGCTTTGAGCTCCTTGGATTTCAGGTTCCTCATCCCCCAGTGCTTCAGATTCAAGAGCAAGATCATTGTAGATTATTTCCTGCACATCATTCAAGATGAATGGATCAGACTCTCTTGCCAGAAGTGCGGGACCCTGAGAGGCATCTTCTGAATCCAAGCAAGGTGTGGACATGTTTTGGAACTTCTTTGGCAGACATGTATAAAGAGGCTTGATAGGGAACAAAAGTTTCGTGTCTTCCTTGTTGGAGGCGCATTGTGATGGCATAGAAGATGTGACAAAGGTGGGCAGAGGTTTGAGTTAGAGTACTGCCTAGGCAATAAGATTTGGAAAAGCAGGGCATTGCCAGGAGGAATTGCAACATATCTGTAGGGCAGGCCATAATATGGCTATTGTTTTTGACCCTGTCCTGCAGAATATGTGCTAAGATGGAGTGAACAGCAGCTTATCATCAATATCAGCACCTTCTTCCAAAAGGTGAGAGCGTAATTCCTCCACCAGGGGCTTTGTATTAGATGACATTCGCAATGAGAATTTGTATTTGCCGATAATCTGAAGAGCTTGGGGGTCTTGGGGGTTCTGACGCAAGTATGAGTACCTTATCATCATGGCAAGACATGCGGTGATAGTTTTAGCATAATTGCTATAAGACTTTCTTTGCAGCATTCTGTAGTGGGCAGATGTCCTACCGGATTGTCTTTGTCAGCTGATAGCATCAGAACTCATGTATATGGAGTAATCTCACTCATCAGTGACGGACTGTTGAACCAAATAATGGCAACTTGTGGTCCATACATTAGCATCTGCAAGGTAGGAGGGGAGGAGCTTTGATATCCTCTCCAGCCCTTTCTCTAAACAGATTTTGGCTGCTTTTCCCTGGGCTGGTGGTGAGCTAGAAGGGGGATCAACTAGTTTCAGAATAGCCTCCCATTGATCCCAAGTATATCTTTGTACCATACTCCTCCAGGTGGTTGGTGTCTGTTCTGTCATGAGACATTGGAAGAATCAGCAGCTGGTGAGCATGTATGTGCAGTGATTCTTCCAAGAGCATAACTTGCTGGTATGTATGTCACTGCATATTTTGCTGCTGGATGAGTTCATTTACACGTTGTCATTGCCACCCAGGCGGTGGATGGTGGTCATAACAGATGTAATCAGCAGGTATTTGTACACTGAATGCTTTCTAATATTATATGCATATTTATTGTTATCAGCCAGGTGACATATTGTGCCTACCATGACGGTGCAACTTCTAGCCTCACTGGACCTAGGGTGTTTATTCCTAGGCTAACAGAAGACAGTTCCTCTTCTCAGATTGCTCTGGCTCTTATATTGGTGCATAGCCGTGTTCTTAGCCAGTGTGCTCGAACCCTAAAAACACTATCAGGTCCGTTTTTATCACGCTCAGAAGAGTGGTGCTGGACGCACTCTGACACTCCCCCCTGAACCAGCAGCTCTGCCAGACTCGCTCCCCCCCAATGCCTCAAGTCCCATGAGATGAGAGAAGCGCTGCACATGCAGCACCCTACTAAACTCTACAGCCCTCGCTTCCTTCCCTCCCACCCTAGGACAGAACACCACAGACCCCACACCAGCTGAGTAGACCACAGTGTGGTCAGCAAAGGGAATTGGCACGCGCATGGGCGTGTAGGAGCACAGCCAGTG